TATCAACAATCAGGGTAGGCATGATCAGCTTAATTCCTTTGTCTTCGTAAGTGGAAGAAGGCTTATCCATTCACATATCCAGTAAGGATAAGCTGACCTCCAGCCCAGGTGGGAACTACCCCTCCTAAGATGTCTAAGATAACCCAAAGGACAGTTAGCCTCTGTCATTGCTGCAGAAAACAAATGGCAGAGACATTCCTCCCTTACTTTCTCCACCCATGTCAACTGGCTCTCCCCACAGACTGCCTCCGTAATCCACCCTATATCAGCTGCCAGCAATTAGTACCCTCTTACTTCCCATTAGCATCCTCTTTCAAGGACTTAATGTCTCACTGTATATGGAAAGTCTTCAGGTTGCCAAGATCAGCCCTCAACTTTTTCTGGATGGTTGTATTTGCAAGGATAGGTATGTGAATCCAGGTCACCATCTTCCCAGAAACCACATCCATATGTTTTAATAGCATTAGAAAGATAATGTGTTATTACAAGATGAAATCATACTATTATTGCTTCTGTAGCAATAAAATATGTGTGGAATTTTGTAATACTACAAAAATAGATCAGGATGGGGTCATATGAACACATTATATATTTTGTAATATTCATTAAATGCTCGCTTCTGACTTACCAGCCTCATCATTCATCCAATTTTGGCAAACTGGCTCATATTATTAGATAATTTTTCATAAAAGTAATATTAGCTAACATTTACTAGGTGTCAACTATGTGCAAGGTGCTGAAACAAGTGTTTTGAAGGTACAAATTTATTGAATCCCCACAAAATCCTATGAAATAGGTACTATTGTTTGCAATATATAAACCAAGGCCTTCAGATGTTAAGCAACTTACTAGAGCCATGAGCTTAGTAAGATGCTCTGTTTTCCTGACTGAATAATGGGTGGCTTAAACATAGCTCCTATATATCTCTCTCTGAATCTCCAAATGTGCTTAGCCCTCAGGTCCCGAGTAAATAAACAGTTATTCAGGGAAGAAACAATGTTTTACTCATATTTGGCCCCTAGAACACAATGCTGTAAGTGAATGCTTCAAAGTATTTTAATTATTTATGAAAGTATTGACAGGCACTGAGATTTCAAACACAAATTCACATAAGATAACCTAAAGCTATTTACAAAAGACCTGACTCAGCCACTAACCAGGGATCCATAGGTTAGTAAAAATTACTTCTGTCCTTAAAGAACAAGTAATCTAAAGGAAAAGCATACACATTAGAAATTAAGTACAATAAATCACTACTGTTTTTTAAAAAATAAATATGTAAAGTGCTATGGGGCCACAAATGAAAAAAATATTAACTTTTCCAGGAAGATCATAAATCTTTTCTTCTCATTAATCAATAATAGAATCATATATAGAAATAAACACTACTTTACAGTTTTTTATAGAAAATTTATTGCATTAATCTATAAACTCATTTGGTGATATAAATGATGATGTAAACTAATTCTGATGAAAGTTTATCATCTTTGGAAAATAGAGATATTTCAATACTGAAAGCATTTTGTTTGCTGTTATCAAGTAAATTCTAATGTATTTTTGTTTTGTTTTTTTCCTTTTAAAAATACATATTGTAATTTGGTCATATCAAAATGAAGCCTAGACTAAATATAGAACTAGAGTAAGTAGACTCAGTGTCAAGATACCAATAACAAGGAGACTCTAAATGGGTAGCTTGCTGTTCATCTTCAATTAATAAACAGGCGTCCATCACACCTTGTGATTCATACTTGTATATCTATGTACACTTCCATGACATAGAGCCTTTATGAGCAAAATATCTCTTCAATATTTACTTTGAATAATAGACACATTACCCAGAGATTGAAATTTTGCTATTTTAAATAACACAAACCGAAAATACAACTTTTAAAATTATTTTGTCTTGTAAGTGACTTGTAATATATAGGAATTATAAAAGGAGTTGTAATACTCTTGTTCAACTTTTTGAATGTTTAAGTTTAAAAAAATCCCAAGAACGGACTACTCCTGTGTCATTGAGGTCAAATGTCTACATTGAGGTCAAATGACCACATTTTCGTCAAGTTGTTTGCATTTCTCACAACATACATACCACTCAGGAATTTAGTTGAGACAGGTTATACTACTCTATTATAAAAGCATATGGTTGGTTTGCTTAAAATTGGTGAATATAGGTATCATAAAGAAAATGCTAAACACATTAAACTCTTGTTAACGTTACTACTATGTCATGAGAGAGGAATTGATATCAAACACTATAAATAAATGTGAGATTTTCCTTATCATCATAAAATTAACCACAAATAACATATTTTCCTTATTAAAGAAAGCATATGAGTTATCATTTGGGAAAGTTTTTATGTATTTATACATACACATAAATAATTTACAAATTGTCTGAGATATCAACTTCTAGGGAAAGAATAATACTTTGGCTCACATTCTTATATGGTTGGCCTTTGCAAAGTATCTCCAAACTGTCTCAGTGCTTTGACTGCCACAGAATATAGGAGAGAAATTATAACAAAATATCTAGAAATTTTACTTCTCAACCACTCCAAATATAATATATAGTTTTGTAATATCCAAAGTGCTAATGTGTTCTGATGTTTGAAAATTTCTGAGTGAATTCTGATGAATGAGAATTGCTGCAGCACAACACTTCAGGCATCAGGCAGCGTTTAGAGTATACACCTGTTGTCTAGTCTCTACGTAAGTTGCTATTACCTTTGCACATGAAGCTTTCCTTTCTTAGTAGTGGGATGAGAAAAGAAGTAGGGTTTTGTTTTACCTATCTCCAGGGAATAATGGGGAAACTGAAATTTACAACTCTGAAGAGACAATCCTTAAGAAAAAGAAGGGGGGAAATCTTATTATTATTATTTTTTTATTTAGCAAAAAGGATTCCTTGTGGCTATTAACCTACACGTGTTTTGATTCGATGCCTATCCCCAGAGTCAAAGATCAGCCAGTGATAAACAATTGGAACAAATAGTTTCTAAGTCACTTTCCAGGCAATTTCTTATTTCCATGAATTAACTTCAGGGTTCCTTAAAGGAAACAGCAATCAAAGGAGAGAGTGTCCTACGTGTGCTTGTTGTGTTATCCATCTGACCAAACTACCATCCCAGACGAAGGTGTGTGGCGTGCAATAGCTGATATTCCAACTCCAAAACTTTCAGGGACAATGCCTAAGGACACTACTGGTGGAAGGGGTGCATAATATATAATAATCAAGTGACTTAGACAGAGTGTCATGTCTTAAAGGACTGAAGACCACTGAATTCCTCTTATGAAGTTGCTTCCTCATTCAGCCTCTCATCCCATCTACTTACTCCTATAGGTTAATGAAAGAGAAACTGGACTTCCTGCATCATATAGGCACTCTTACAAGACAACTACCTTGGAGTAAAAAGTGTTACTGAGTAATTTTGCACAAGATGAACATCTATTCTGGTTTGCCTGGAACAGTTCAGATTTAAGCCTAATACAGAAGCATTTCTAATAATGCCTTAATTTACTCTCAAGTGTCCCATTTTGGATGGTAAATTATATGATGACCACAATGGAGGTCTTTAGTAAGACTAGTCTGTAGTATTCACTGCTCCCCTTCCCCCTGGTTTAACGAAGACTCAGAGAACCACCGATCAAAAGGAACTCCATTTGTAATACTTAAAAGCTTCTCTATTTCCATTAAAAACCATTCACCTAAGTTTACTATACTTTTAGTAATGACCAGTTTTAATAGATTGAAATGATATATTCTCATTTCCTTTCTCCAAAAGAAAAAAGCAATACACTTTATCAAGCAAAAGATGAATGGCAATGATACAAAAAACAATGAACATATAATATTTTTTCATTAACAATCCAAACACTACAAAACATGGAATATACAACTTAATGAAAATACAAAATTAATGAAAAATGGGGTACATATCACATTAGCAATGCAAAAGACCAGCTTAAGCATAGTTTATCTAAATCAAAAATTAATAAAAGGAAAGTGCCCGTTTTTCAAATATGCACAAAAATATTCGGTCACTTCTGGGGAAAAATTAATCAAAACTTTCTGCTAATTCTATATTACAGCACGTATTACTAATGGTTTATAAAACTTAAGCATCTTCTTACACTTAAAATTTACAACCTTTACCAATCATTACACACTCATTCAATCCAGTCTGTCAAAAATAAAATTATTTCATTCCTATGTTTATGAAATAATTACTGATATGTTATGAATGCCAGGTGGTGACTATGTGTGATGGGAAGAGTGATCAGAATAATGTCATGGATCTAAAGTGGGTCAAGGGTCAAACAGACCACCTCCACCTGGAATATCTGTGTGTTGACTTCTGTCAATACTTCTACTATTTCTAAAATAATTCTCATTCCAAAAAAGCTAAAGCTTTCATACTTACATTTGCTATCCACTTCTAGTGTTCAAAGTGTATACAGTCCTGCCACATGACACAGCTTTCCTACTCCATTCATACAATCCCTACAATTCTGAGTCCAGCAGAAAAGAAATAAGCAATAAGACTCAATCATATGCCCCTTGTCTTCTGTATGTTTAGTGATTCCCACTTTTCTGAAGTAAATTAATGATAAACTGCACAATCCTAGGTACCGTTCTATAATGCAAATGAGAAAACATATTTAAAATTTCCAAGCAATAATACCAGTGTCCATTGCAACCCATGTGTCAAAGGAGTTCTGTAAGTCCATGCTTTTAGCCAATGCCTTACAATAATCCATGCCTCATGAGTGCAGTTCTAAAACTAACGGCAGTTCTAATCATGTCACTATCTCCTTCCAAGTCACCTGTACAGAAAGTACCTACGATCCGTATCAGCCTCAGCTTGAGCTTTCTGGTTCATGTCCAACAACTGCCTACCAAGTTCATTAACATGCACCAAAGGTGGCAAACTCGAGGATGGAGAACTGAACTGCAGTTCTGGAAAGGGTTCCAGCAGTTGTTCAGTGGTCCTGTGGTGTCATTCACTGCTGCTGCTGCTGCTGCTGCTGCTGCCACTGTCCTCTCGCTTGGGAGAAGATGAACTGTCCCGAACTGGTAGCAGGTCATAATGGCAAGGGATGTGACTGTTCTTTGGGAGGTCATATGGATCCTGGGTGAGATGCCCATTATTGCTGAATATTCCTTGGACAACACTCACTGTGGGTTCTGCAATAACACATTAATTTATTAGCAAGGGGCATTTAAAAAAATATAGCACTTCTTGCAAATATCAAACACACGAGATACTTTCATAAAAGTATAAGAAAATACTAGTTTTAAAAATCTGATCTTTTTTACATAGGGTAGCAGCTTTGTAGTTGTTGGATCAACTGACAAATACAAATGGTGTTCAGAACAAAAGGACGAGGATATGGCTGGGGTGAAGTTATAGAGAGAATACACAGAAATCTTGGATATAAGCCATTGTCTAAAAATCCACCTTAAGAATAATCTAGTTCAAACCCCTGATTCTACAGGTGAGAAGACCAAGGTCCCTGGAGTTTAACTCAATTCAAGGAAACAGTCAATATATTCACAACTTTAGGCCTCAAGACTCAACCTCTGAGATGAGTTCATAGCCTACTGTGGTGGGCTTTTGGGATCATTTAAAGGGGAATTATTATTGACTTAAAAATAAAATCAGTTCATTACAGTTTCTATTTTAAAAAGTTGTGTTATTACTTAAAAACAAATTGTTTTTCTTTTTTGATGATGTGTCTATGACATAAAATCAATTATTAGTCTCAAATTGGACAATTCATTTGCAAGTAATACAAAATTATTTCAAAGTCATAAATACCATGAAAGAGAGAAAAAAAAGGAAAAAAATTAAAATATATAGCTTTACTATTTAGCCAGTAGTGGCTGTGTTGTTTTATCTTTTTCCAAATGGTATTCACAAAGGGGAACCCAAATAGCTTATAATTTTAAATTGAATTCCTACTAATTTGTACCAGTCACATCTGAGAATATTACTGATAAATCAGACAAGTTTAAAATAAAATGTTCCAATCCTGCTAAAATCATTATATTAATATAATGAATAAAACCAGGAAATAGAAGCCTCTGTCTTAATCCATTTGAACTATTTGTTTTAGCTAACTCAATACATTAGTTAATATGATACATATTCTATTCCACATATATGGTAAAATATTTACCCTGGATTACCAGTTGGAAGAAAAGGAAAATTACTTTAAATGTGCTAAATGTTTTTTTCCCGGAAAGATTCATTTGACATCAATTAATATGAACACTGCAAACACAGGTTGCATCTAAAATATTGGCCACTTACAATTTTTCCCCAATTCTTATGCACGCAGTTCTTTCAATGGTTGGGAGAACTCACCAACTTCATAGACATTCTTATTGGCTGAAGTTGAGTTATTGATCTCTGCATACGGGGAATCTCTTCGTGCTGGTGACTTCATCTCCACGTAACCACACTCGGAGTTTTTAGGGAGAAGTACAGGTGGATCTTTAATAGTGGCATAAGGGTTTTCAGAACTGCTTAAGGAGCAGTTACTTGAATTATATTCAGAATTCTTTCCCAGATCTATGAAGAGAAATGAAAGGGAAAAAACAGTAAATTCTGTTTTATGGGAAACATCATTTCTAGGTGACAATTTACTTGGGCAGATTATTTTTTCTTCTTTAAAGTGAGGTTTCTAAAATTGTATCTACTGAAAATAATGCTGTACATTTTCCACTTATTTATTGAGATAATTTGTTATAACATTACCCATCTATAAAGTAATATGGTTCATCTCCAAGCGGAATACCAATAAAAATACCATGGACTGGATTTCATTTTGATGGTCACAATTAAATATTATCAATCCCATTTTGATTCACTAAAAGAAAATTTACTGATTAAAGCCTTTGGATTTTTCAAAAGGAATTTTCAAAAGCTTCACTCTAGAAAGACCACAAGAGTATGCGAAGGTTCTGTTATCATGATGAGAAAGTGATTCGTGCTGTGAAGATGCCCTGTTAAGACTTCAGTACTGGGCGCCATATTTCTCAAGCTCATCCTGAAGAGCAGATCTTAGTCGACATATAACCATACTGATCTCTTCTTATTTTCCTGGATATTTCCTATTTTACATCTTTTTCCCAATCATTCATATTTTTCCAAAGGAAAAATGAGTATTTCCTCAGCAAACTGAAAATTTTGTTCCCTAAAACTTTAATAAGATTCACCTATTATCATCTTTTGATGTCAGTCAAACATGTTTGTGTTTTGGTGTTATTGGTTAGATAGATAACAGGTGTTCCTCAAACACTCATGAGTGAGATGACACAGGAACACTCAGGTCAAATGATTAGATTATGAGAGGTGTAACCTATTCAGTGAATTGATCCACTGATTTGGATTAAGTGGGTAGTAACTCTAGTTAGGTAGGGTGTGGCTGGAAGAGATAGGTCACTGGGACTATGCCTTTGGGGTTCATATTTTGTCCCTGGTGAGCTAAACTCTCTCTCTGTTTCCTGATGGCTATATTCTGAGCTACTTTCCTTCACCACGCCCTTCTGCCATGATGCTCATCTTGGGCCCAGAGCTATGGAGCTGGCCATCTGTGAACTGTGACCTCTGAAACCATAAGCCAAAAAGAAATTATCCTCTTTATGTTGTTCTTGTCAGCTCTTCTGGTCACAGTGATGCAAAACTGAGTAAAACAGGTGGCATAATCATTTACATAGTGACAATCCTAGATTATCTCTACCCTAGTACTTGTTTAGAAAAGGATTTCAGTCATTGAGATAAGTGGTGTTTTAAATTGTGGTTGATATATATATTTCCCAAATATATACCATACCTTTTAAGGATTTTCCCATATAGCTTCTGTCAAGTCCAAAAGCACCTATGATGAAGGAAGAAAACAAAAAAACACTGAAAGGAAGAAAAAAAAAAACCATCTAATGTTCCAAACACAAGGTGCAGGGTGTGCACCTATATCTGACATTCACCTGTTTATTTATAAGGACTTAGGGAAAAGCTACTGATTCAGCAGAATCTGAGGCACAGAGATGATCGAATATTCTTGATTCAAGGTTGCATAGTAGAGACACAGCTAAGACTAAAACTTGAGAATTCACTCCCAAGGGCAGCTTTTTCAAGGCTCTGAGAGTTTTCAAATTGTTTTCCCAGTAACCATTATTCAGCTATATCATTGTTTCCACTATAATCTCTTAAAGAATGTTATGGACTTAGGTTAAAAGCAGAGAGTAATGACTTGTGATGAGCATTACACATAAGTATTGAGAGTTTTAAGAAAATGATGCTTGTGCATACGTCTCTTAGTGTGATGTTAAACTCAGGTTCTGATGGTAATGGCTACTGAGCAAGGCATGCTTCTGTCAAGAAAGAGGGAGGCTTCCTTTAAGGAAGAGGGTATGTGTAATATCAATGACTGTAGGATAAGACAAGGGAACACTTTCTTCTCTAGGTTATAAAGAGTCTAGCCTGGCTCCTGGTTGGTGGGAGACTTACAGGGTTATACAGGAAGATAGTTTAGAAGGATTTATAGTAAAGAATTAACTTTACCAAAAGAGAGGTCTGACCTTTGCCTTTAACTCCTGGGAGGTGATCCCTATGTCTTTGGATTATCCTGCCCAATAAAAGTGTCTCTGCTTACATGGGGATTACACTAGATAGCCTAACAAAGTAATATATGGTTGGATCATGTGACATCAGCTTGACCTCTGGAGGGGTGAAAACCAAAAGATCAGTCACAGGCACAGGTGATCATATCCACAGGACCAAGCCCCCAAAATCTCTGGATACCAGAACTGGGTTGAGCTTCCCTGCTTGGCCATACTCTGTGTATATGATCACATATTTTTGCCAGGAAAAGTTAGCCCTGTCCATGACTCCTCTGGGAAAGAAGAAATGATACCATCTTGCTTTGCCCTTTCCTGAACTCTCCCCCAGGGGGTCTCTTCTCTTGGCTGATTTTAATCCATATTCTGTGATAAACTATAACTCTGAGTATAAGAGCATTCAGTGAGTTCTGTGAATACTTCTAGCAAATTATTGACCTGAAGGATAAACTTGGTGACCTGTAAACTTACAGTTGGATTTAAAAGTGAGGGTGATCTTGGGGGCTTCCAGACTTTGTAGAGAGACCCCCATGGAAGGGGCAGGGCCTGTGGCCTCAGAGCTGCCATAACAGGGAGCTCTGTTATTCTTTCCCTAATTCCCTGACCATCTCCAAACTATGGAAAGTCTTACTAGCTGTCCATCTTGGTCTGAGCTGTGCAGTGGCTAGACTTCCCAAGGAGTGAGACAGAAGAGCAGCATGGAGTGGACAGAAAACAAAGGAATGAGTTGAAGCTGTGAGACCAGCCACCCAGCAAGATTCTCTCTCCACTGACTTGTATGACCTTGAGCTGTTTTACAATGGAGCAGGCAGGCTTCCTCATAAACGCCTACATGTACCAATCCCCCAGATGCGTGCTCCATAGATCCAGAGTTTTCAGTGAAGACAGTATGTTCCCAACAATTAGTCCCTAAGGTGTTACTGAGACAGAAAGGAGAGATGTTTATAGGACCAGTGAAGTTATTATAGTAATTAAACAGAACAAAAGGACCTTTTTCCTCATTGCCATTGGTTGGCATCTTACTGAATATCAATTCATATACTTCTTTGGACTAAATTATAATTTAGACATTTAAAAATCTCTTTTAATGTTAAATGATTTTTACCAATAAGCATAATATAAATGTGATATATGTATAATTGTACTGTGTCTAGAAATACAAAGCTGTTGATAATATTGGTATAGAATGCAGATGAAAGTTAAAAATTTGCACTCACTTTTCTACTGAAACATTTCTATTTCTACAGTAAGAGGCATCCTTGAGCCCACAGGGATTGGTTCCTACATTCAGCGTTCACAGAGAAGCAATAACCAACTTTGAGCCCTAGCTTTCTTCCATACCTTCTTTGAAATTTTGGACAATAGAGTCAAACCCTCTGTGCTTCCCAATTCATGCACCTTTAGAACAAGATTTCTGGAATGCATGCCCAGTAAGATTGCCAGATTTGTGCAAGGTGAGGTGCAAGGTGATGTATATCACATTGTGATGTACATGTACCTAACATAAAGTTGGTCAGCTTCATTAAACACTTGATATTTTGATATAATCATTCTTACTGAAAATGCACTACTAGGTAAATCAGTTAATCTGACAAAACAAAAGCATGTTTCATGCAATCTTTGTGATGCATTTGTCCTAAAAAAAAATTTGTTGTTCATCTGGGCTTTCTGGCAACCCTACCACCAAATAAATACATGAGAAAAGGTTTGTTACCACTAAGGAATGCACACACATATTGGAAACTGTACCACAGTTTCCAGGAAACTGTGAATCACAGCTCATTAAGTGTGGACCAGGTACTCCCAACTCCTTTTCAGATGATGAAAACTTGATGAAAGTTTTCACTTGATGAAAATGATTTTCATAATAAAATAATGATTTTATTTGCCCTTTTCACTCCAATTCTCTTTCAAGTGTACAATGGAGTTTTCCAGAAGCTATGCAAGGTGTGAGATCACAGCTGACCAAATGTAGAAAATGATGAGAATCTAGATATTTTTCAGTTAAACCAGACATCTAGGAGATTTAGAAAATGTAAAACAGTGCTGGCTTTCTAATTTGAGGGGTTTTTGAAAATGCCATTTTTCCTAAAAACATGCTTTACACAATCACAAAAAGAGACATTATTATTTTAAATAAGTTAATGTTTTGGTATACATCTTAATGTGTCCTGAAAAGCTCATATTAGGCAATGAAGGAATATTCAGAGGTGAGGTGAAATGCTTAGATTATGAGAGCTAAAACCTCATCAGTGGGTTAAGCCCTTTGATGAAATAAAAATTTGAATGGACTACTGGCTGGTAACTGTAGGCAGGTGGGGTGTGCCTGGAGGAAGTAGTTTGCTGAAGGCATGACTTTGCCCTCCATCTTGTCCTTGTCCATGGCTCCAATCCCTCCCCGTTCCTTTCCTGGCTGCCTTGAGCTAACAGCTTTCCTCTGCCCTTCCACCATGATGTTCAGCCTTAACAATGGATCTGGTCAACCATGGACTACCCATATCAATGGTAGCACTTTGGGGGCCTCAATAATCTTTAAGAATATAAAGGGACCTGATTGCAAAAATTTGAAGACTACTGATTCTATTCCAGTTGGTATCTGTTTCCTCACCTGAAAGAGGGAGGGATGTTGAGCATGATGGCCAATATTAAAAGAGAACAAAGAGGAGCACATGGCCTGGCACCAAGGGAACAGTATTGAAAAACCAGCTCTAACTTTTTAACAGGCCACCTGGCCTTGTGCAAGTTCCTCAACCCCTTTATGACTCAGTTTCTCAACTTTCACATGGAGATGATGATAACACTGTCATCTGACAACTACCAGTACTTGTTACTCTCAGTTCTACCTGTCAGAGTACTTTCAGAGTATTTGTCTCTATCAATTCCTGGCACACAGTAGGAACTTAATAAACTTTGTTGAACAAATAGAAGACTTAGGATGGTAGTAAGTCCTATACAGGTGCTGGGCATAATTATGTGGTTTTTCTAATGTGTTTCTAATGTATCACTGTGGTACAGACACAGATCTGTGACTATTTCAGATGACAGAAGCTAAAGGAGCTTGCTGGAGTATGGGGTGAACGCACCGAGCTCGTTGAGGTAGCCACCGTGTTTCCAGTCTGCGGGCAGGGTCCCTGTGCAGTCCACCACAGGGCCTCTCTTCCCAGGATTCACGTTTTTAAGATTCACAAACAACTGATTGTTTTTTGACTGTTAAAAACATAAACAATAAAACATTTAAAGACAAGATATAATGTGGCACAACATAGTGTTGCCTATCTGAGGAAAAGCAAGCCCAGGTCTCACCACGGAAATGTTTGGGGTTAGGAGCACTTAGGGGGTTTGGGGCTTCAGTCTCTGCACACATGAGTTTCTTTATTTATAAAATGGGGACAATAATCGCTATTGATTTAAGGGATTGGTGTGAAGACTGAGTTTATATTTATAAAGTGGTTAGAAATGCTTGCTTGGCACATAGTATTAGCTTGTTGCTATGTGACTCTTTTTGACTTACCAAATTAACAATTCCATATGAGCCCACCCAAATAAACAAATGCTGTTACTAAAGTAGAACGGGGCTATAAAAGGGTACTGAAAGGAAATCAGTTGGGGAAAAAAATGTTGGTGATTTTACTCAGACTTGATTTTGCTATAGGGCTTTATGTTTTTATTAATGGCATTGTGAGACATTATTTTAAAATCTCATTTAAAATTGGAAATATTTTTTTCCAGGAGGTGTAATGGAAACAGTACAGACAGGGAGACTGACTCATATAGCAGCTGCCTCACCCACTAGCTGGGCAGCCACCTGGAAGGGCGTGAAGCTCCCTGTTATATAGGATTTTGTCGGTAAACCTGAGATGCCATGCCATGCTCAGAGGGCTGTTTAGAGGAATTGGACAATGTATATAAAGCAGAGCAGCATGTGCAACCACAGCCCTGACTAAACTTGCTCCTTTCCTCTCTCCCTGCCTGCCTTCCAACTTGAGCCCCTTCCTCTTACCTTGGCAATGGTCATCCTGTCCCTGTTGTTGACATGAGGGGATGTGGCACACTGGGTAAGGGTGTGGTAACTGGGATTGGTGAAGTAGTGGCTGTTGGGATTTCCACCGTTGCTATGGGGCAGGGTTTCTGCAAGAAGAGAAAGAAATGGTAAAAATGGAAGGCTCCCTCGCATCTGTGGGAGAAAAGATAACCAAAATGACAGAGCAAATATTTGGACTGCTTCCATATTGCAAGCTGGGCAGCATCCCCTCCTGCCCAGCCCACTCAGCAAGGGTCCTAGACGGAGCAGGCATCTGCCCTTCTACCTGCCTCTGTGCACAAAGTGTGAAAGCATCCAGAGACAGCTGCTTTTAGCTCTGGGGCTAGTAAGAGCTGGGACAGCATAATTTAAAACTACTTCTGCTCCAACTGTCCTCTTTTAATTTTTAAACACTTGATTTTTTAAAATTTGGGTGTTATGGTTAGAATTCATTGTGATGTACATGCATCTAACATAAGTTGGTCAACTTCATTAAACACTTGATATTTTGATATAATCATTCTGTACTGAAAATGTACTACTATGTAAATCACGTACTTTACATATTCCCCCAGAATCATATTTATAAATATGTAACCAGCCTGAAATCCTTCATTAATTAATTGCTCCAAAATTAATAAGGATTTTACATTTTCAGATTCCTCAGTTTAAACGGTTACTTCTTTTGATGATTGAATGGGTCAATTATATATATGTATTCATTCCTTCATGGGGATTTGTGACAGAAAGGAAGATTTAGAAGAGCTTTCTAAAGCACTGCCTTGATTATTGATGATACCAAACAATGGTTTCAGATACAACTTGGTTTTTTTGTTGTTGTTGTTGTTTTCAGTTAATGGCTCGTGTGGACTCAGAGACTGGAAGTCACTGTAGAAAAGACTGAAGGCCAGAGACACAAGACCTGGTCCACTTCCCTGAGCTGCTCCATGACCTTGGTAAACTTGACTCCTGACTCCTTCTCTCCCTTATCATACAAGACAAGAGCTTGGGACTGGGTGCCCAGCAAAGCCTCAATTCCCCAAATCCAAAGTAACCACACAATTAGCCCAATTTAAAAAGCCTCATAGAAAATGATGGGGTGGTGGTTTTACTGCTATTGAAATGTAAAACACATCTCTAAGCAATTTACATCTGTTTTGAACATGCAATCCTCCTAGGGAGAATGGACAGAAACAATGGACAACCAAACACCCAGTTTTAAAGACCCAGGACGAAGCCTAACTTTGCAAGGAGTGAAAGGCCTCTCATGACTCCAGTCTTGCCTGAAATGGTGTAGTCTGCATTGATGACCCGCATGGCAGGAGTGTAGGTCACTGCTGGCATGCTTGACTCCTTCCCCTTCTGCTTGTGTCTATAAATAATGAACAACGCCAGTAGGAAGAGAACAACGAGGACAAGAATGATGATGCCCGCGATGGCCCCGATCTGGTAGGAGTCAGCAGGGAGGGCAGTGCTGGTTCGGCTTAGACTGTTCAAATTCCCAACGATTATAACACCAGCTAGGGAAAAACAGAAAAAAAAGAATTGGATAAAGAGGACAATGTGCAGGAGAAGTGCTTGATTTCTATTTACAAAAATCTCTTACTGTGCTAATGCCTGGATATTTTCAGTTCATGAAATGTTAATTTGGAAACTTCTGGAAAGAGAGCAGGAAAAGAAAAACATTCTTCATTTTCAGATGTTGTTGGTTTGTCTATTCCCAGAGAAGGTCTGCTCTAAGCCTCAAAGAGACAGGAGTTGAACCCAAAGATTCAGCAGTAGGGTTTGGGAGCTTCTTACATATTTCAAATTTAAACCTTAAACTGGTGATTAATTTGGAACAATAATTTATCTAATTGTTGCTTTGTTTTACTTATTATTCATTATGGACCTTATACAGATATAAATTACAAATGCCCAACTCTCTAACTTAATATTACATTTATCCTTGGTGTTTCCAAGAGTAATTTTCTTTCCAAGCTAGCATAACTCCATTATAAATCTAGTCCAAGACCTAATTCCAGAGCCTTTTACCTTAGAAGAGATCTCATTCTGTGAAAAGTTATTTTCTATGACATTAAGATTTCTCCTGATAAAACCTGATAACATCACACTATAACATCACCCTTACTTATTAAACTCAAAATTCAGTTTTACTTAGTTCTTCTATCAAGTGAGAAAGCTAAGGGTTCCAATTTGAGAGTCGAGAAATTGGACATCTGAAAAAGTGACTCAGATGTTAGGAACTTTCCCTTTAGCTCCAAGGCTATAGTTTCATCATCTAAAATGAGGAAAGTGGCCTTTATGTAGCTGCTTTCTGCTTAGATAAATGCTCCTGTGACTTTATGATTCTTAACACTAGAAGAACCTCCGATAAACTATTTTCCCTGAAACATAGAGGACTAAGTTCTAGTGAGAGTACAGTGCATTTGTAATCATGATATGATAATGAGATATAACATCCAGCTGTGATTACAATCAAAGGTAAACTGTGAACATGTATGTTATTTTATTAAAATTTTCAAATATGGGAACTTATATGGTCTGCAGTTTAAGATGACCACCTGGACACGGTCCATGTTCACAGCCTTTCACCACCCACCTGCTTATTGCCACCAGACAGCACTGTGTGCAGTAGGAGCAGAGGCCCCCTAGAAGGAAGCTCCAGAACCATCAGAAGCTCCTTCTCAGAGGTCCCATCCACCCCAGAGTAAGAACTGCCCGGGTGAGACTATGTATATAAGAAATGTTCCCAGGTGACTATGATACACATCCTAGCTAAAAACCACAGACACAAGTTTCTTAAAGTGTTCAACATATGCGTACAGTGACTTGGTCATTCTACTCCTAGCTATTCATCCAAGAGAAATGAAGTTCCATACATACATATGCTATTGTTCATAGTAACTTTATCTGTAATAGCCCCCAAACTGGAAGTAATCCAAATGTCCATGTATAGGTGATTGGTCACTAAATTATGGTCTATCCACACAATGAAATGCTACTTGACAACAAAAAGAATGGAACTATTGAGAAATAAAAGAACATGATTTATTTTAAAATAGTTATGCTGACAAACATAGGGGACAGTATGATTCCATTTATATAAAATTCTAGAAAATGAAAACTTATTTATAATAACAGAAAGTAGATTAGTGATTGCCTGGGGCCCAAGAACTAGTGGCAGGAAGGGGCACAAGGAAACTTATTGAGCTATGGAACTTGTCATTATTATGGGGATGGTTTCGTGGATATAAACATGTTCTAGATTTTATCAAATTGTATGCTTTACATATGTGTGTCTTTTCATATATTAGTTATACCTTAATAAAACTGAAAAAAAGAGCTCGGCATGTGGCTCAAGTAGTAGTGCGCTCACCTGGCATGCGTTAGGCACTGGGTTCGATCCTCAGCACCACATTAAAAAAATAAAATAAAGATATTGTGTCCACCTAAAACTAAAAAATAAATATTAAAAAAAACTGAAAAAAATCATAGCCCCATTAGAATGTTTATAGAATAACAGAACCTGGCATCAAAACTGACATTTTCTACATACCAGTTATGTGTCCTTGGGGAAATTACTCAACCCTTTTAAGATTTAGTTTCTAATCTGTAGGACATCAACAATACAGCATACACCCAGGCAAGTAACTACATAGACAGTGAGGATTACACTGGATCACAAGTGAAAATACCTGCCATTGTGTGTACCTGGTGGTCATGCAATACGAGGTAGCAGTTATTATTTACTAGTATCCTTACCTTGATCACATCGTGCCCCTTTCCATCCTGGGCTGCAGTAACAGGTCCCAGTGATGTGGTCGCAGGTGGAGTTGTTCATACAGTCACATATCTGGCGACAGCCATAGCCATAGGTTCCTGCAGGGCACTCTGGAAAAGGAGATAAAATCAGTGTGGCTCCCCAGTCTTGGGGATCTGAAGCAAGACTGTCTCTTACTGAATGTCCCTGTATATTAGGAGGTAAGCCCTTTCAGCAAGCTCCTGTTCAGGCAGACTTGTAATGCCCAGGGTGTCCCAGAGCTGGACAGCAGACCCTGAGTCTTGGTGGGTCTCACAGCCCAGGCTGCACAGGGCTAGAGATTGAATTACTCAAAATTACAGCTCCTGCCACTTCCGGCTGCTGTACACATACTTCCCTGATGCATATAGAAAGAGTCTGTGAAACTCCCATGAAACAGATAAACGTAATCATAAAGAGGAATTTGAGATGACTCTAGCAGGCAAAATTATGGCTGGAAGGGGCCTAGACTGAGAAGCCAACTAGAGAAGCTTCCTTAAGAACACCTGTATTTTATTGGAGATTTAAGGATCCTTCTAAATACACATACTCACTTGGATCAGAGGGAGTAGAAGTAGGGGAGGACAGTTTTGTTAATTTTCTTGGTAAGAACTTCATTTGTCAAAGAATGGTTCAGACTTTGGCTCTGCAAGTTGCAGTCAGACTAAAATAGTAAGATTCTTATGATGTATATAATAAGAATTATTATATACATCAATTTCAAAGAAGAGCATAGATAAGTCAAACCTAAAAATCTTCATGACAAAATACTGGTGTTTTTCATAGAGTGAGCAGCAGGGGGCAATGTGTTATTATTCGCTGAGGGCTCTGCAAACACTGGGATTCTGTTTACAAATCAGCACTGGGACAAGTCTTCAAAAACACAGACATTTAAATTTGATGTTCATAGTCATCGTGGAAGCATTTAGAGGCTTTTATTTAATAAGACCTTAATTAATCAGTCATCTGGCATTCAAATGGTGGTCAGTTTAGAGCCCATTCTGGTTTCCATGCCTATGTTTAAAAATTTACACATATACACACATACACAAAGAGGGGTGTACATGCCACCATGTGACTCAGTATCTGCTTTATGATTAAATGAAACAGATACAAAACTAAAACTGGGCTCTCACTGTCTTGAGCTGAACCCTTATATCACTCCTGTAGCATTTGCTAGAGGGAAGGTATGCAAAGATGAGCTGGGATTAAGCACAGGTGACTGAGACCACCTTGCTGCCCAGAGGATACGAGGTGCTGGTGGGGTGGAGTGGAGGGAAACGATGCTTTATTGCCAAAGTCCTGCTCTGCTGATCCACCTCTCCAGGTCACACTGCCCCTATAACCATGTCTTCCTTGCTGTGCCCTTGCTAAGAGTGTACTCTCTGGTGAGCAGGAATTCTCCTGCACCTCTTCCTACCTCCTAGGTCTTGTACCATATATGAGTGTGCCCCCTATACTTCTCAGTCCTTATTTACTCATCTTAAATACCAAATGAAAGTTATAGAGCAAAGGAATGATAAGCTCATTTGAAATACTCAGTTCAAGGCTAAACCTGTGAGCAGATGCATAGCTGGGGGGTAAAAATGGAAAAACAAGGATAAGGAATTCCAATAGAATATGTTCTGAGTGGGATTTTAAAAAAATAAGGTAATATGTCATCTTGAAGGTTAAGACTATGATGAGTTGTTAGTGGAAACAGTATAAAAGAACCATGTAGAAAAAGCAGTCAAAAGGGTGCAACATTTGCACAGCCTTGTTCCTGAACCAGCTCCTGGAGCTGGTACTGAGCCCTCAGTCCCACTCCTCATCTAACACCCTCACCTCCAATTCGGGCCTGGCCTTGCCTCAGCCATGAAGCAAGCTTGACTGCCTCTGAGCAGCCACATTCCAAAAATAAAAGAGAGAGGAAGGGCGAGCCAGAAAGAATAGAATGGAAAATTTGAATTCTGTCCTCATCCTTGCAGTCACACCTCCTCGACCCAGAGTACTGAGTAATTTGCTCAGAAGAAGCATTTGCAGGGAAAGACAACAGCAAGGATCCCAGGGAGGGGAAGTCACCTGTGCTGGTAAGTAACCAGCCATCAGCTCAAACCACATAAAAAATTGCAATAATTCTGCACTTTAATATTTCCAAGCATGCAGGAAAATTGATTCCAAGGGAAAGAATTCCTGTCTAGTGACCTCATGCTCTCATACTCACTCTGCTCACAGTGCCTCCCCATGAATCCTGTGCGGCAGGTACACTGTCCAGAGATGTGGTCGCAGTCGGCTCCATTTTGACACTGGCATATCATTGCACAGTCCTTGCCATAAAACCCCAGAGGACATCCTGTGCAAGGAGGGAAGATAGCTGGGGTCTGAAAGCTGCTGAGGAAAAACACAGCTCCTGCCTCCAACACAGTTGTGTTTAAACTTCAAGGCTACTGAACCATTTGAGAATAAAGACAGTAGTGCATATGTCAGCTTGTCACAGGGCTTCTTAGAAGTTCTAAGAAGGGGTCTTGTAAGTAGGTTGTAATTCACAAATAAGAGGCAGAAGAGTTCCATACCTATCAGTGTGACTATCACTGGTACCCTTGAATGCAAGACTTATGTTTTCTAATAGCATCCCTTGAAGCCTGTGCATCGAAGCTGTGGAGTATTCTACATACTAGCTATGTGACCTATGCCATTTTTCTCATTCTTCACTCAACTACTTTTAATCCTGGTCTCAAATTCCATGGACTAAATTATTAATTATTATGTCACAATAATTAATAATATAATTATTTTAATTATATTAAAATTATCTTCATGCTTTTACTTGTAGTACAGAAAGCCTCCAATTCTGCTACTAGTTTTGTCCACTGTATCTGTAATTAATTTAGACAATATTATCAACCTCACCAAAGAGGCGTGGTTAAACGCTTAACTTAAAAACAACTGTGTTTCACTGGTGCTTTGAAAAAAGCAATAAGTCTTCACACTGCTCCCCAATTTCCAAGGCTTAGAACACCAGGACCCTTGGGCTAAAGACACGCACAAGCTCTGTTGGCTCACATGGGCTGGCAGCTGCCCTGCAGGAGGTTTGGGGGCTCTCTGACACACAAGATGCTTCAGTACAGGCTGATTCAATGGCTGTTTCCAAAAGTTACATCTGCCTTTTATTTTCCTGTTTTCTTATGGTGAGACCTAATGAAAGCCTGACTTTCAAGAACAGAGACAGCACACAGGTGCCAGCCTGTGAGACATTCCCCAGTGTCATGTGTTTATTTAGCACCTACTATGTACTAGATTCTTTTAACAAATTCTCTCACTTAATGTTTACAGCAGCCCAGAAATGCAGGGATGATGTTCCCATCTTACAATAAGAACCAAGTCCCAAGTATTCTGTCACATAGGTAGCAAATGGCAGAACAGCAGGACCATGATACAAACACAGGGAGGTCTGTCTCTAGATCCTATGGGGCTCCCAATATATCACGTTATGTCCACATAAAAAGGTCCTCTGTTTGAAGCAGACCCCAATTTTTAGAATTATAAATTATAGCATATAAGTACTTTAAGGAATTCAAAAATATAGATGTACAATCTCTGGAGAATATGTTTGGGACAACCTCTTTCCTTGCCATTTATCCCTTTCAAATCTTGGTTAAATGGCTACTCTCCCTTCTAGAAAATTTGAAAAGTCTTGTTCAGACTACTGTCTAATTATGTTCACTAATTAGTATTAAATAAGAATCACCCAATTTCTGACCTGTCTTTCCTCCTCAGTTCATTGCTGGAATTTTAAATCATATGTTATTAATAATAACTATAAAACTATAATTATAAAGTAATAATGTTCCTCTCTTGTCTCCTTCATTCCATTGAAAATAATAAGGCAAAAAAAAGTTTTTTCCAATGATTCTCAGCTATGGAACACTTTGTACAGAATAGTCGATTATGCTGTTATGGTGTTGATATGTGGTATCCCTCAAAAGTTCATGTGTAAGACAATGAAATTCAGAGGCAAAATGATTAGCTTATGAGTATTGTGACTAATCAGTGGATTAATCCACTGATATGGATTAATTGGGTGGTAACTGCAGGCAGGTAGGGTGTAGCTGGAGGAGGTAGATCACTAGGACTGTGCCTTTGGGGCCTTTGTCCCTGGTGAGTGGAGCTCTCTCTGCTTCCTGGTGCCGTGTCCTGAGTTGCTTTCCTCCACCATACCCTTCTGCCATGATGTTTTCTGCCTTACCTCAGGCCCAGAGCTATGGAGTTGGCCAGCCATAGATTGAACCTCTGAAATTGTGAACCAAAATAAACATTTCTTTTTTTAAGGTGTTCTTGTCAGGTATTTTGGTCACAGTGTCACAAAGCTCACTAAAATAGATGCTAAAAAATCTCATGGAAGAAAAAATGGCTAGGACAGTATAGGACACCGAATGTGAAAAAGAACTAGAACAGTGTCCTCAAAATAATGGTCTTGGAATGGCACTATCACCAGTCAGCAGACAGGCAAATTCTCAGATCCCAGCACAGACCTACTGAACCATTCACTCTGGGGGAGAGACCAGAATGCTATTTGCCCACTCCTTTGAGCAACTGTGAATCTCACTAAAGTTTAAGAACTACTGAATTCCCTCTTCTCCAATGGCACAAAGTAAGTTAGGAAGTGAGGCTGGTTGTCTTCCCTAACTTTCTAACTTCTTATCACTTACCCTGGCATGCACTATTAGAATAAGTGATAGGGAATTTGCACGATATAAATAGGGTCTGGCTGAAGGAGAAAAGAGAAAGAAAGTATATACCATTCCACATAGCATTATTCTACCTGATGTCCTGATATAACCTAGAGACAGAATACTTGGAAAGTGGTATCTCTTAACTGCTTAGAGAAATTCAGATATCTAGAGGTCACTGGGAAGATGAAGTATTCCATGAAGAGACCCTCGGTGAGCTTAGGTGGTACAAAGGGTGAGGCTGTTTACTCCTGAATATGGCTCCCCTTAGTGGGCCTCAGAAGGCTCCTTGCTTACTCTGAGTGCAGTAGAGTCCTGTCCAGCCAGGAGTGCATTTACATTCCCCATCATAGGCACTGCAGAAAGCCCCGTTGTGGCAGTTGCAAGTGTGGATGCAGTTTGGGCCCCAGTGGGCAGGTGGACATGCTAAAACCATAAAAAGCATAGAGAGGCATGTTAGAGTTGAGACCAGCACCAAGCAGAAGGAATTCCATTCACCCCTGCACAGTTCCTCATATGTGGAAATTAGAGGTATACAGAGGACTAAAATAACATGTTAAACCCACAATTTAGTTGTACATGGTGGCTTATCCTAGTAACTTGGGAGGCTGAGGCAGGAGGATCGAAAGTTTGAGGTCAGCCTTAACAACTTAGCAAGACACTATCTCAAAATAAAAAAATAAAAAGAGCTGTGGATGTGAATCAGTGGTAAAGCATACTGGGTTCAATCTCCAGTACTCCTCCCCGCCAAAAAAAAAAAAAAAAACTTTCACAATTTAGTGAAGAAGGTCCAAATTATGCACTAAGACTCAAAAGGCAATGCTGACTGTAGCCATGACCATCATTCCTGACAGACACATTCATTCAAAACCACAGAATGTAGTGATGGCAAGAATCATCTCAAATTTACAGATTCAGTTATTAAACAAACATATTCCACATCTATTATGTGGCAAGACTGTTCTGGGCACAGGGAGATAGCAGAGCACAAGACCAAGTCCTAGGCAAACCACCCTCTGGATGCTTATATTTGAGTAGAGGAGGCAGCAAATCAGCCCATTACTCAACCAACTGAAAAAAAAATGATGGCAAGCGTTATGAAGGAAATAAAATTGTAAGGAGGACAAGAAGGTTGGGAGCTACTTCTTTAAGAGAAGCCTGTCCAAGGAGAGGCCATTCCAGCAGAGACCAGATGGGAAATGTTTGACTTGGAGACCCCCAGGTCATGCAATGCATGTCTCTGACTTCGAAATCCTGCATTTGTCAGTGTATTCCAGGGTTGTGGCTATAGGCTGGTTTTCTACCCTAAGGCTGCAATTAAACTCTTAACTGGAAGAAGCAGAAAATAATAACTCAGAATCATTAGGGGTCACTGCCAATGGAACAGCAATCAATAAGTCAGATAATGGAAGATTATGAGGTAAAATAATTTGATTTACATCCCCCCAGATTTTTATTCATACAAATGCTTCAGGAACATAATTTCTTACAAGGATTACATGTAATTTATATAGGGCTACTCCATAGGGAATATGGACCAATAAAAACAATAAATAGTCTGAAGCAATTTTAAATGAAAAAAAAAAACCTCCCATAATTGTGTAAATCATTTGTGTTCAAGAGTAAGGGAAAAATTTCATGGCTGATCCTCAAGATCTAGTGTGAATACTAGAGTAGATTTTTGAGGACAACACTTTCTTATTTTACAGAGGGTTAGACTAAGGTCTAATAAAGTTAATAGTGACTTATCCAAGGTCACACAGATTAATAATAATATCCACTATTTGTTTGGTTAATACAGTTCTTTTCTTCTAAGGCCACAGAAAAACTCAGGGTGGAAATGATTAAGCCTGTAGCTCATCTGACATTTGATGCAGCATTCTTTACCTGAAATAACTGTCCCTTAGATAATACTTAATACATTTTTTGTAAACCCTTTTATGTTCATAATAGATTTTAAAAATTTTTTAGTTGTAGTCAGACACAATACCTTTATTGTATTTACTTATTTTTATGTGGTGCTGAGGATCAAACCCAGCACCTTGCATGTCCTAGGCAAGGGCTCTACAGCTGAGCCACAACCCCAGCCCCTCATAATAGATTTTTTTTTAAGGTAAACTACTTGCATTAGGCTTTACTCCCTATAGTGGTTGTGATCAGAGAATGGGGATAAGAATCAGAATTTTTATATTTTAAAAAGTAAATGGAGAGATAGGGCTTGAAAAAAATCATTTTACCAAGGACACCTGTCCCTTTAAATGCATCCCTTTAATTTTTCAAAGTCTCTGTTTTCACTGTGTGGACTTTTCTCTTTCTAGACAGGTTGAAAATCATCCAAGAAGAAATATTAGATGGTTCCACAGAGTCCATAAGGGAATCAATGAAGTCAATGATCCCCATGAGAAGCAAAGGCTTTTGCCAAATAAATCAGCATCCTCTAGAGTGATTATGGGAACAGGAGACACGATTGTCTCCATTCATAGTGGTGTTCCCATTTTTGTTCCCTCTAGCACATTCCTCCTCCAAATGAGGAAGTGACCAACTTCCAAAATAAAGAGTACTCTAAATGAAGCACAGTATACCCATCATGCAATGGCAATGATATTGGGGCTTGTTTTTCTCCCTAACTGTGTCATTCAGTTTCAATATCTGTTCCTCTACCCGTCCCTGTGTCATTCTGAGTTGGATTCCTGCAACTGATAATAGATTTTAAATGTAGATTTGAATAGTCTGCTGTTACTTCTGAAGTGCTCCCCCCCACAAACAGTGAAGCACACACCAAGGAGTTATATCTGATAACACTTCACCAAAGAGCTACAGTGGGCTTTGCCTCCTTACTCCTCAGAAATGGGAACAGCCTGCCCTACTCAGGGCAAAAAACAACATTGAGAAGAAAATCTTCAGACAAAATATATTGCTCATCAATTAATATTTGCAGATAATAACCACAGAGTCTGAAATAAGTAGCCAAAAAAACCACCATGTAAAATCAGTACCTAGTCATTGTTTGATTTGCTTTATGTGCATGGTGAGTGGGTTCAACATAAACTGAGTATGTGCTATGAAATTTATAGTGAATGGAATCAGAGTACAGCTGCACGTATGTTATCCTTGGTCAAAAGTTGAGAACTAAAAGTTGCACTGACCCTTTCAAAGCATTAACCATTTATGGTCAATGGCACATTTTCATGACATTGATGATCTAAAAGTCATCTACACAGTTCCTCCTAGGGTCACACAATCCCTGTCTGAAATACAGTGGTATGGGGTAGGGTGAGGGGGTAGGGGTAGCAAAGGTGAAATTGAGCATATGAGCTGCAGTGAGGTGGGTGGTCTGCTCACAAGCCCAACAGGTTTCTAAGGTTCACCTCATTTAAATTCTTCTTCATGTGCCCATAATTAACTCTCCATATAAAAACAAAATAAAGAGATAGATTTCTAAACACGCTTATTTTTAAAAAAAAAAAATCAATGGATGGTGAGTCATTGAAAAGCAAATAGGTAAATTATTACATATTTAGGTTTTCCCCAAGACATCATTTGGATTTAGATATAGAATCATTGCAGAGAATTCTTAATGGGAAGAAAGGAATTCAAAAACTAGAATGCATTTTATAACTGGTCACATATTCTTTCCTGATTGTACAAACACTCATAAGTAAATTCTAAGGCACCTGAAAACAAACAATGGGTAATCAGTTGTTCTCCAACCAGACTTACGTTGAGAGCAATCACTGCCAATCCAACCTGGGTAGCACTGACAAGACCTGTCAATGGGGTTGCAGGTACCGTTGTTGGTGCAAGTACAAATCCCTGCACAATTCTTCCCAAATCTGCCACTGGGACACACTGTGAAAAAGCCACATGTTAGTAATTCACATCACAACCCATCTCACAGAATCCTAAGCCCTTAAGGACAAGAAACGACTTCAAAGGTCACCAACCCAGTTGCCCATTTAGTAGCTGCCTCTGCTAGCCAGCATCCCTCATCTTGAATGGGCTTGTTTTTACAAACACATGAGCCAAAGACTCTCATTAAGGCATCATGAACCAGGAGACCTCATCTGATTTCTAGAAATCTGACTTCATGGCTTCTCACTCAGGGAGTCAACATCCTTCCTCATATTGATTTTTCATGGGAGGATGTTTCCAATTAAAACTGAAGAGTAGTATAGTTCAGAGAATAAAGAGCTTTTGTCTGGCATGGCAAGCCCATGTTTCCAAAGCTCCAAGGCATTTCAGAAGCTGCAGACACCGCATCCTAGAGGGCTTCAATGGCTGACAGCTGCAACGGTATCCTTCAGGAAGTCTGAGAACAGAGCATGGGGCTTGCTCAACTCCACGCATCTCTTTCCAAAACCTCCATGCCTCACCTTCATTGCAGAGGGCACCCGTGAAGCCAGGCAAACAGTCACAGAGGCCTGTGATGTGGTGGCATGGCCCGCTACTGTGGACACACTGGGGACATGTCTGGCTGCAGCGATGCCCGTAAAAACCAGGGGAGCAGACTGAAAACACAATAGAAATAGTTACCTTTCTGAGATGCATTTACCTCATATTCTACATCAGGAGCTAGTTAAAGACTTTGATGTTTAAAAACTTCAATGAAACAATGATATTGAGAATTTTCCAAGTATAAAACAAGAACAAGGACAAGAATGATGTAACTTTTGAGTAAGGAAAAGAAGCCAATAAACTGAATTGCTCCAGGGCAAGCGAATGTCTTAGTCCTTTTTATTTTTCTATTTATTTTCTATCATTAGTTCCAGGATGGGCAGGGAGCAGGGACACAAATAATTTTTGTTGAACAAATAAAGAAATGAAAAAAATTAGATACTAGTAAGTTCTAAATAAGCTGCTGATCCTTTTATTCTTTAGGAATCAGTATTGGTAATACATAGATCTATAGATAAAATTAGATCTTTCCTCCTCAGAATGACCCAGGTCCATGATCATACTGGAAATCAAGTAAGCAAAATGCTACATTCTTAGGTGCTTCCCAAGGCTTTAATCAGATTTAAACAGAGGGTAACTGCATGGACTCTTAATGGTAACAAAAGAAGAAACTTAAAATGTTAGAACAGTGTATCTTCTAATTAGGTATAGATTCTTTCCTGATAACCTTTACTAAAAGATGTAGTAAAATGTTATAGATCAATTCTTAACTTAAAAATTAGTAAATATAGTAAAATTTTATAGATCGTTTCCTAACTCAAAAACTCTATCAACCAATGTCAACAGTCCCAATTTTTAACTTTGCAATTCTCTTTTCCCCGTAACCCTGACGTTAAGATTACTAGCAGATGTATGATTTGCCTCAAGGTTTGGCTGATGTTGACTTCTGGTAATTGAGGTAAGGTCAATGCCAAATTGCTGAATAAAATATTTACAGGTCAGTGGATTTCTGGAACACCATTTGCAAGCTCTCAGGAAAAAAAAAATCAAGAATCATATCCGGTTTCTGGTGCCAATGTGGCAATGAAATCATGACTGGGAAGAAATGGTTAAAGCCCCATCTGTTAGGTTAGTCCTGAAGGGTGAAGAGAATAAAGTTATGGGAAAGTTTTATTGGGGACAGTTCTGCAAAGGAGAGGAGACTATTACACCCTCCTCTGCCCTTGGCTGCAACAGAACATCACTATACACTGAGAGGAGAAAGAGAGGTCATTATTTTGTATCTAGTGCCCAGGGAAGGACAGATGGAAATTATCTCTCTAATGAGACACTTACTTCGCTGACAAGTGGTACCTCGGAATCCTGGCGCACACTCACAGATGCCGTCATCTGGGGAGCACGAAGCCCCGTTTTTACAGTAGCAAGGCAGGGAGCAGTTGGGACCCCAGCGTCCCTCAGCACACACGCTATCACAGTGTACACCTGAAATAACGCACAGGGGGCAGGGCTGAGGGAGAGACCACGTGGGGGCTTCTGCAGACGCTAATTAAAGAGGAGGACTAAGTGCACAGTATTAAAACTGAGTATCCTGGGCAACAGATTATCATCTTATCAACACCCAAACACAGAAACATCCAATGTTAAAATAACACCCAGAAGTCTTCTCTATGCAGTCACAAGGAAGGAATAAAACACCTTTGCTTTATCGATTTTTCTTCTTTAATAGGAAGGAGAAACAGGGAAGCCCAGGGCTCTGTCTATTGAAGGTAAAATTTATCAAAAATACTATTGATTTCCTTCTTTCCCCCATTTTTTGTTTTCACGGAGACATGAACAAAGTGTACAATGATAAGGCACAGCACACAGTAGCTAAATTGTTCTACCTCGAGAAAACCCTATTGTGGAGTAAACAAATAAACATGGTCTTAAAATATTTTGTGGATAGATTGTGCAGAACAATCTATTTTTGTTAGAAAAAATACCTAACACTTTTCACCAAATTCCTCTTTAAAAATTTAATCTCACATTGAGTAGAGGCAAAGTTTCACATTTTCATAATTATTATTTATAGCTATTGGCTAAGCTATTGATAATTATGAAATGGCCACAGATGTTGAACTCTTGTTTTGGAAACAGAAAAACTTTAGCATCAGTCATGAATGAATATACAGACGTCCAAAGGAAATATCAAGGAAAACCAAGATTTCAAAAAGGAGAATAAAACTGGTTTTATTTGAAGTACATGGAAGTCTCTCATAAGATTTCATTTGAAGTAAAACCAGGGTCTCTCTCTTTTTTTTTTTTTTTAAGTCAGAATTCTCCACAACTCAGAGAAATGCCCTTCCCATTGAAAGGCAATGAGTTACAATTAGTAGTGAACTGGGGACTGCTGGCCTCAGACCAAAGGGAAACACGGTAAGAACAAGCACGCACACCCTCCAGGATTCCAGAACACGATCAGCTCTAAGGGTGATGAGCAGGCCATGTTCTGCATTCCGGTTTTTGCTTCAAAAGCAATTAAGAGAAAAGTCATTGTGGCCAGAACCTTAACACGGAGCACTCCAACACTCCAAAGTGGGTGCTGCTAGTTGGTACACAGCCATTTCTTCTAAATAATAGTTTCCCACTTTTTACTGTTCCTGCTTTGCTCCTTCTGAAAGTCTCCCACGTGGTAAAGTCTGTTAAGTAGGCATGAAAGCGCACAGACCTCGTTGTGTCTAACTTGAATCAACAATAGACTTCATTTCAGCTTGGAATGCTGGCTGAAGAAAGGAGACCGGGTCCCTTTGTAAAGCTGATTGGGATTTAAATGTTCCCCATAAAATAAAATATGTGATCTGGGCCCACTGGGTTATTTTTCCCTCATGTTCAAAAAATATATTATCTTTCAAGTCTCTTTGAGAAAGCTGTGAGGGAACTGCAAACTCTACCCTCTCCAAATATGATACACCAGCAATGGGATCTTAAGCCATTCATTCTAGCAGAAGCACCAAATACACTGAGTGATAGTCCACTTCATAAGGAAGCTGCAAACCTAAACTTTGTTTTGTGAATGTAAAGAAAGTACCAACAGGTCTAACCTGTCTGTGCTTTATTCTCAGTTCCAGGAATTCAGGTCCTAATCTCTGACTATAACCAGGCTCCTGTTTAACAACAGCTAAGATGGAGACAACTGCTTCACAGAGATTCAGACAACCCTGGGCATTTTAGTCTGGAATCATTAAGGGAAATCTCAGTAAAAAGTTTAAAGAAGTATAACGATGCTGCCACATCAAAATTTATAACAGCTCAATTCACAATAGCCAAGCTATGGAATTAACCTAGGTGCCCTTCAATAGATGAATGGTTAAAGAAAATGTGGTATATATACACAATGGAATACTACTCAGCCTTAAAGAAGAATGAAATTATGGCATTTCCATTAAATGGATGGAACTAGAGACTGTTATACTAAGTGAAATAAGCCAATCCCAAAAAGCCAAAGGCCAAATGTTCTGATATGCAGATGCTAATTCACAGTAAACTGAAGTAAGGGAAAGGAGGATGGGAATAGGAAAGACTAAATTGGACATAACTTTCCTATATTCTTATATGAATACATGACCAGTTTAACTCCACATCATGTACAACCACAAAAAATGGAAGTTATACTTCATATATGTATGATATGTCAAAATACATTCTACTGTCATGTATAGCTAAAAGAACAAATTAATTTTTTAAAAAGAAAAAAATAAGTTTGAAGATATAGAAGTTAAGTGATTATCCAGTTAATCTGATAATAATCCTGAAAATTAGTACTGATTTTTGATACTTTTTTGGTGGAGTGGCATTTGGGAGATTGAGATTTAGCCATTTAGTTTATCTACTACTTGCCAAATCATTACTTACACATTCCATTCTTATGGGGTAGAGTACATTGTTGGTCAAAGGCATCTGCTGCTCTTTTACATTATAGACATCATGATTCACACACAGCTTAGCACACTCTCAGTCAGAGCATGTTAGGAAAAATGACAATAGGCCAGATTGGCACTCTGAATAAAGTGATGCTTTATCTCATATCTGCTTCCTCTTCCCTTAACAGGTTTGTCCAGCTAGTTAGCATAATCATCAGTCATAATCAACTTTATCAAGGTAATTTCCATATAAGCAACAAGGCAAGGAGATCTATTGCAAAGGTAAGCTTGTCTCAGTGATTTACCCATCATTTCTTTCCCAGAGACTCAATTCTAGGGGTCATCTATCAACCTTCAGCCTCCAATCATATCAGCATATTTTAGCCAGAACCAAGCTTACTTTTAAATAACTTTTATTTTTAGACTGCAAATAAATCTTTCCTTTGGATATAAATTATAAACATTCTACTATCAAACACTTCTTAAAAATTCAAACCCTTTTAATCTAGCATCAGTAAAAATAAGTCATCATTTTGCAGATATTAATGCTTAATTTCTTTGAAAACAAATATCAGGTATGTCTCTCCAGGGGTCAAGTCCAGCAAAAGATGGAAAGCCGACTTCTTCCTCATCCTTTCTCCCACAGCTACTCCTCCCCCATGGTCCCTCCCTGCCTCTGCCACCTTGCCTTCCATTTATGGTCTGGGAAGGACAAGATAAATCTATTATTGCTGAGGTGTGCCTGGTCTGGAGAATATGAATATTTTAAGAGAGCACACATTTTAGGAGCCTAAGAAATAAATATCTAATTGTGGAATTTCCAGTGATGAGGTTTCATGGTGGAGTCTTTGGTAAGTGCTTCTCTACAATACACCTAAGTATAAGGCTGCTGATTTGACCTCCATGTCAGGACAATGCAGCGGTGAATTGTATTCCAGGATAAATAGTTGTAAGTCTGTTTTAACCATAAAGTTTGGTTCTGTGTGTACGTGTGTCTCTTATTCCTTAATCATTTCTATGGGTCTCATCTTATTTTTGGCCAATTTTGCTAAAGTCTTATAATACATCTTTTTGTTTCCTTGATTACCAAAGATGGAGAATAGAATTTAAGTTAATAAATATTCAAGAAGTCCAACCAGATGCTGGCTTGCTGGTGAGACGTTCTTTAGGAACAGGAACTCCAGGGCAATAATGGCCACAGATCAGAGACATCTAGCTTTGTCTAGGGACAATGGCCAGGGAAGGAGGTGGCTTGTCAAAGTGGGAAGAGGGCTCTGGGTTAAGGGAATAGAGAGTCGGCTCAGAGGCCCAAAGAAGGATGTATCTAACCTTTAGGAATTGCAAATTTCAACTGAAACTCAGGGGCTGGGAAGAGCAGGTGAGGTGGGTGAGCAGTCAGGCCGCGGCCACATTGAGGGAAACTAAGAACGCCATGCTGTGGACTGTGAGCCTCCTCCTGGTGTTACCAAAAGAACAATTTTTAAGAAGGATAGAGCGTAACTACATTTGTGTTTTATAGGAGGGCAGAAGATGGTGTGCAGAGGGGATCTGAGAACTCTGTAAGAGAGGTTGGTGCCTGTACATGGATTGTGTTACATTAATATTTGAATCGATCAATAAGCCCAGTTCCTCTTCTCTACGTGATATTCAGGACTCCTTTCCAATTGGGGGAGCAAACACAGCATGTTTTGCTTCCCTGAAGAAGTTTTTATTCAAATCAGGAAGCCCAACGTCTTCCAGGGTAAGTACCTAAGTGGTCGCCCTTTCCAGCTATGGAGGTAGAAATGGCTGATCTCCTTGTTTTTGAGTAGATAAGCTTCCAGGAGCTCAGGCCTGTGTGTTTTTCATGTTGAACCAGATTAGAGCAATGAAAAATTATGAGATACCTTAACAAAATTTCCTTGGAATGTTTTTTTTTTACAAAAACATTAACACTAATTACCTTAGGAAATAACTTCCCAAAATATTTAGAAGAATCAGCAAACAAGGAAGGGGGTAGCTTTAAATTTGTGGAGACCTATGGTTCAATAGAAGCATCTTTTTTTCCCTGATAAATGTTCCAATGCTGATAAGGAGATCTGTGAGGAACTGTTTTTGCCAGGACTGAGGACAAAGAGCTCTTTGATAGCCCTCATGAGTTGCTAGGCGATGGCTGAGTGATCGTGATAAACTTCAGCTAAGCAGCTCTAAAGAAATGTCCGTGCATTTAATGCCTGATGCATTATGCTGGGGGGGCCTCAATGTGAAACCAGCATTCAGCAGGCATTGCTTATGGTATGAATGCAGTAAATAGATCATCTGGGGTGTCATTATTTCCCCTCTTAGACATACAACCCCCAGTCCTTAATTGTTTATATTTTTTATATTACTTAATTGTTTATATTCCCTAGGCCAGTATTGAAATATTTGGGGTGTTGATCCCAGCCAAAAAACTTTTAAACATATATTAAAGGGAGAGATGTGTTAATAATAATTGTGTTTGATAACTGTAGAAGGGAAGTACTCTAGCATTTAGACGTAACACTTTTTCTGCTTTTCTGTGGCATGAGAAGTGATTCACCCTGTCTCCACCTCTATCTGTAG